TGCGGCATGCCAGCTCTGCAGGACAGAGGCTCTGACCTTCCTGGGGGAGTAAAGCTCCCCACAAAACCATAGTGCTGTTTAATGTTAAACTGTAATAATACCAGTTGGACAGTAAGATCAGGGTTTCTGGTGAGGAAACAGGAGTATCCTGTAGAAGAAGTGGAGAGAGATGGAGGGAGGGAAGTAGGCTGATGCCTGAACAAGATGTCTCTGAAGGTTTTGTTCTTCCAAGACTCCAGCATGCCCACTCTGCACTGTGGAATGATCTGGACTTTTCACTTTCTGGCCTGCAGGTGGATCTTGACAAGAAACTACAAAGCTCTTTCAAAGGGAACAAGGGGGAGCACCTCTGGTTTCCTGAACATTGTGATGGAGTTGAAAAAGTGCTGCAACCATTGCTACCTTATCAAACCTCCTGAGGAAAACGAGAGAGAGAACGGCCTTGAGACCCTGCAGGTGGGCAGTGTCTTTGGTTAACACCTTTTCTCCTTCACACCAAGATCAGATCTGGCGAAGCTTTAGCTTCTTGCTTCTCCATTAGCAATAGTCATCACAGCTAAACCACCTGAATCTCCAGCCCTCTGCTTCCACTGTAGGCAGCGTTGTGTGTCCATCATGCAATATAAGCTCTATCTTGGATAATTGATTTTATGTGTGGCTCCTGCCGTGTAAATCCAAATAATTTGATTAGAGATGTATGGGAGAAGAATGACCCCAAAAGAACCAGATCTTTGCATGTATTGGCATAATGTACATAAGGGTAAGATTGGAAAGCATCAGCTGGAATGATGTTTACTTTTTCAGTCTCTGATCAGGAGCAGTGGAAAGCTAATTCTCTTGGACAAGCTGCTGACCAGGCTGCGGGAGAGAGGTAACAGAGTGCTCATCTTCTCCCAGATGGTGAGGATGCTGGACATCTTGGCAGAGTACCTGACTATCAAACACTATCCTTTTCAGGTGAGAAACAGCAGCCTGGAAAACAGTGAGGTTCACTTGAAAATGTGAGAACATGCAGAGGGAGCCTGGGCAGTGGGAATCACTGAGTTTCCCAGAGATTGGTGGCTGGGATTACAGGTTGCACTTCCTGAAACACACTGGAGGGAACTGGGAAGTCACTTCACTTAAGTGTGGACCCATCTCTGCAAAATGCCTCCTCTGACAGGCCCCTGCTTTGGGCTGTGTCCTGAGACAAACCCCAAGGAGAGGACAGCAAACAGAGAGAGACCCTGGCTGGGAGCCTGTAACGGGAGCTGCAGTGTCACCCCGCTCCCGCCCTGGTGATGCAGAGGGCTCAGGCAGTGCAGTTTTAATTGGAGGTTATTTTTAATGGCTTAATGCTGCAGGAGGAAGGGGGCTGAGGGCTCCCAGAAGCTGGGTGCAGCAGGTCCTCAGGGCTCCTTTACCTGCTTCCTTACATCACTGTTGTTGACTTTTCCAGCGCTTGGACGGCTCCATCAAAGGGGAGATCCGAAAGCAGGCGCTCGACCACTTCAACGCGGACGGCTCTGAGGTACCACAGTGGGGCTGTCCTGCCTCAGCAGGGTCCGGGTGGGCTGAGCCATGGCTGTGACTGCCAAGAGGGAACCAGTTCAATTCATTGCTTTTTACAGGACCCCAAATACTTTTAAAGACGCAGATAGAGCAGGTTTTGCATGTAGGCATATTGCTTATTTAGAATCTCCCACATCCAAAGAACAGGGCTGCAGGTCACATCTCCAGAGACTCCTGGAGAGGCTGGGAAGAGCCAGGATTTAGAAATTCCCTCCCTGTGGTCTACTAAATGTTTCCTCCAGTGTGAAGCTGGTTTTGGATATGAAAGGGCAGAGGAAAAAGGTGGATTTTAAGCACTGGCAGGCAGGACCAGTGTAGTGTTGGAGGTGAAAGTCTCCAGTGTTGTAGGAGAGGGCATCTCAAACCTCCCGTCCAGGCTTGCTGACTCACAGTGACTGGTGCAAGGTGCCACAGTCAGCTCAGCTGTGAGAAATGCCTCTCCTCACTCCACACTGGGGGGCATTCTTGTCTGACACAGGAGATACAGTCAGGTGCTCCATGGTTGTGGGAAGTGAGGAGGAGACAGCAGTATGGGTGGGAAAGGAGCAAGAATGCCCACAGAAGCTGCCCTTTCTCCTCTCTGGGGGCATCCAGGGGGCTCAGGCATCTTGGCTCTAACCTGGCACCCCGTGCCCTCAGGCAGTGACTCAACCAACCTATTAGTCACTGATCTCACCCCCAGCAGCCAACAAAAAGCACGTGTTTGCTGCTGCCTTTGTAGGAGTCTGGTGGGCAGCATGGTCTGACCTTCAGAAGGGACTCCAGGGTGTCCTTGCCCTGAGCTGTTTGCACTGCTTTCCCACAGTGATGCATGCCAGGCTCTTCCTGGAATAGCACACCTTTCACCCTGCCAGCACCACCTCATTTTCTGCCCTGGCTTAAAGACCAGTGGTACTTGGTGTATGTGGGAAGGAAATTCTCCTTCTGCTTTCTGGAGGAGCATGAATGCACCAATTCTGTCTCCATTTCCTTGCATAGCTTTGAAGTCACCGTTGCTATTTTATGTCCACAGTTACAGGCTGGTTAACTCATGGATGCCTTTTCTTTTGTTCCTCCCAGGACTTCTGTTTCTTGTTATCAACACGAGCTGGAGGGCTGGGAATTAACTTGGCCTCTGCTGATACTGTTGTTATCTTTGACTCGGACTGGAACCCCCAGAATGATCTCCAGGCTCAGGCTCGGGCTCACCGAATCGGACAGAAGAAGCAGGTCAGAAGAGTTACCTGGGCTGTTTCCTCTGGGGCTTCAGTGTGTGAATCTGAAGTGGCTTCCACCTCACCAGAGCATCTGAAAACATGGTCTTTTTGTCCTGCTGCCAAACACAAGGGAAGCTCATGTAAAAGTCAGGAGACAAAAAAATCAGCCCAGATTCACCAGATGCCAGGTCTTTCTGTTGGCTTTGGGTTCTGGGATGGTTCCAAACCAAGCCCAACTTGTGGCATCACACTTCTCAGCCTCGTGGGCTCTTCTTTCTTGCCCTTAGAAAGTAGAATATCCACCTTTGCTAGGGGTTTATTAGATAGGTGAAAAGTTTGATGCCAGTTTGGATTTAGAGTGATGGTTTCAGAAGACTTTTACTCTGTGCTCGGGCATGCTACAAGATCTGTATTAACCAACCTGATTTTTGCTGTTTCCCATGAGATACAAGAAGAACATGCTTGGTTTTCATCTAAAATGACACATCTGTACATGAAGAGACAATGTCTGGGGAACAACTGAGGGATGCCTTGCTGTGTCAGCAGAGCACGTTCAGGTCCAGGGAATAGCTCTGCTCTTCTTTTGCCCTTCAGGTGAATATTTACCGCCTGGTCACAAAGGGAACCGTAGAGGAGGAGATCATTGAGAGGGCCAAGAAGAAGATGGTGCTGGATCATTTGGTGATCCAGCGTATGGACACCACTGGCCGGACTGTTCTGGACAACACCTCTGGGCAATCCAAGTAAGTGGTTGTGTCAGGAGGCAGAGATGGCTGGAACAGCATGTGAGGTAAACAGCTTCCCCTGCTCGTGTTGCTCAGGGTTTATTTGATAGGGTACAGGGCAGAAGGCTAATACATAATGGTATCTTCCACTGTTTTGGCTTAATGAAACTCTTGATTTGGACATACAGGATAAAGATAATCAGAAATAAAAGTCCTAGTTTTAATGCATTACTTGTTTTTACCTTCTGTCTTCCTGGAGATCATCCTGATCTGAGGGAACCTGGTGGTGGAACAGCTGGAGTTTGGCAGTGACCTCAGACTCTCCCCATTTCCCCCAAGGAGATGGAGGCTGTTCCCTTTACAGTAGTTGTCTGTGCTAGAGCAGGGAAGAGATCAATAAAAAAGCTTTTTACAGTGCTGGGTAGAAAACTTACCCCTTCCTTTAATTAGGAAAACCTCTGGTATGGTTTTGTGCTGCAGCAGTGCTGACTTCACAGCTCAAAACACATTTTCCTTCTTGTTTGTTCTAGCAGCTCAAACCCTTTCAACAAAGAGGAGCTGACAGCTATTCTGAAATTTGGAGCTGAAGATCTCTTCAAGGAGCTTGAAGGGGAGGAGTCAGAACCTCAGGTAGTTTACAATTGAAATCACACAGTGGTTGGGAGTCCTCTGCAGGTCTGCATTGAGGGGATAGTGTGTGTTTGCTTCCTCTTGGTACTTGCCCTCTGCGTGAGTGCAGGTTGGTGAACAGGGTGAGTCTGAAGAAGGTGAAGAAAGAGCGCTCTGGGGATGGGGAACCAGGAGGTTGAGGAGAGCCTTGTTGGGGGTTAAATAATAATGATCACCAAGAGAGTCCCTTGGCTCCTGAGGATTCTATAGCTAGTTACAGCAGAGCCTGCTGAGAGCTCTGCTCCCTGCCTCCTCTGAGCACTCCTTCAGCATCCTTTTATGGTTGCTCTCAGAGAGAGGAAGGAGACCGCACAGTGAAGTCAGCTTGGTCGTGCTCTCCTGCCTCAGTGCAGCACTGCTTGACAGTTCAGCACTGAGTGCTTCGACCAGTTCTTTTAACGGCCTGAGTAGCAGAGATTCCCCTGAGGGAACCAGTCCACAGTTACTGTCTCTCACTCTCTGGACATTTTCCCTGCTGCTCAGCTTTGCTGTTCCTTTTCTTCCATCCGATCACCCTTATTCATATTCTTTTGTACCACTTGAGATAATTCATCCCTGCCCTTGGTGATGACACCCTGCAGATATTTGCACTTCATTTAGCTCATATCCGTACAGGGCATGTTTAACTACTGCACCCCATGAATCTGTTCTCCAGAGCTCTGTCGTGGTTTAAGCCCAGCTGGTAGCTCAGAACCACACAGCTGCTCATGCACTCCCCCCTTTCCCTCCTCCTCTCCGGGCAGGATGGGGAGGAGAATGGAAAGAATGTAAACCCCACAGGTTGAGATAAGAACAGTCCAATAACTAAAGTATAGTACAAAACTGCTGCTACTAATAATAATGATAAGGGGAATAACGAGGGGAGAGGATACAATTGCTCAGCAGCTGCTGACCGATACCCAGCCCGACCCAAGCAGCGATCTGGGCCTTCCAGGTAACTCCCCCCAGTTTCTATCCTGGGCATGACATGCTGTGGTATGGAATACCCCTTTGGCCAGTTTGGGTCAGGTGTCCTGTCTCTGCTTCCTCCCGGCTTCCCCTCCTCCCTGGCAGAGCATGAGACTGAGAAAGTCCTTGATCAGGGTAAGCACCACTGAACAACAACTAAAACATCGGTGTTGTCAGCATTGTTCCCAGGCTAAAGCCAAGACACAGCACTGCACCAGTTGCTAGGAAGGAGAAAAATAGCTGTTACAGCTGAACCCAGGACGAGCTCTCATTTCCTGCTGTGCTCAGCACCCTTCGCTTCATCTTTCTCTCTTTCTGACTGGTAGGAGATGGACATTGATGAGATTTTACGTCTGGCTGAAACACGAGAGAATGAAGTGTCCACCAGTGCCACCGATGAGCTCCTCTCCCAGTTCAAGGTATGGACATGCAGGCTTTGCAGGGTGTGGGCCTGTGGCTCCCCACATCTTGCCATGGTGGTAAGGTCAGTGACAGGCAGGACAGATCAGGCCTGGTGAGAGGTGACCTGTACAAAGCAATTAGCTGAGGGGTTGTGTGGGTTTGGCAGCTGGGGACGTAGGGAAGGAGTTGAAGCTTAGTAGACAGCTCTGGGGTATTCCTTCCATGGGAGGGGATTTCTAAACATCTTCCTTTGCTTCTAAAAGGTGGCCAACTTTGCAACCATGGAGGAGGAGGAGACAGAGCTGGAGGAGCGATCCCAGAAGGACTGGGATGATATCATTCCAGAGGAGCAGAGGAAAAAGGTGGAGGAGGAAGAAAGGCAGAAAGAACTGGAGGAAATCTATATGCTGCCTCGAATCCGGAGCTCAACTAAAAAGGTACAGCCCATGTCAAGGAGCTGAGGGGCAGGAGGTGAGAGCTGCAAAGGCAATGCTCAGGGGCAGCCTTCTTGCTGTTTTGAGTGCTTCTTTTCCTCCTTCAAAGTTGGCTGGGAGTAAAGCACAGAGGTAGCACATTGACCTCTTGTTGGCATCATGCATTGGGCCTATGGTTTGTAATGCAGTGTGAGGGCCCACATTGGTATGACTTGTCTTAGACAAAATAAAGAGACCCTGTTATGGATACAGGGCAAAATACCCAACTGTAGAATGCAGATTTTCCTTCAGGTGATGCCATTTTCTGGCTGTTTCTTTCCCTGCGCTTCTCTTCCCTAAGTGTGGTTCTTGCAGGCAAAAGAGGTGGTGTCTTCCTAAGTTCTTTTTTAGGTGATGGGATCTACCTCAGTCCCACAGAAAGCAGACTGTGCAAGGAAACTCTTCTGGGATAGGGGGCTTTAAGGGCTTCTGAACTGGTCTCTGGGATGAGCTGGGAAGAAACATTAAGGTGAAAACTTGAGAGAAGAATAATATATATTGGATGATTCCAGATTCATTTCTGAGGTGTCTTGGGTTTCAAAACAGTCTGAGGGACTGTGGCACAAACCCATGGTAATCACTGTGGTTTATTGCATCTTATACCTTCGTAAATCAAAATGCAACTGTGAAACTGCTGGCTAGAAGGCTGTTAATGGAGGATGACCACCAGAGCCATAGCTAGCTGGAAGCTGCAAGGGTGTGCAACCTCATTGGGTTGGTTACATGGGCTCCTGCATCTTCAGGGAGAGATGCTGAGGTGTTTCATAGTCTGAACATGCAATAGTGCCAGTGCATGAGAGGGACAGAAAGGGTTGGCAGGTTAGCAGTGGTAAACTGTACTGCTGTTTTTCTGGTACGTACAGGCTCAGACGAATGACAGTGAATCAGATGCAGAAACCAAGAGAAGGCTTCAGAGATCATCTGGATCAGAAAGCGAGACGGATGATACTGATGACGAGAAGAGACCAAAGCGCAGGGGGCGTCCTCGGAGTGTGAGAAAAGACACTGTGGAAGGATTTACTGATGCTGAAATCAGGAGGTCAGTGCTGGGCACGAGAGATAGTTCAGAAAACAAATACAGAAATCCCATGCAGGTGGATGGGATTCCCAGGTTAATGCAGGAAGGGTTCACCTCTAAGCATGTCAGTGGTTTAGGTGAGGCTGGTTCATTGGGCCATCTTCTGTGCACCTTCATATAGTTCAATTTGCACCACCTTAACATTCAGGTCTGTGCAAAATGGACTGGGTTGTCTTTAGTCAGTCTACGGTGAAGGTACCTTCCTAAATTAATCCTTGTTGTAACTGTCCTTAGTGGGCCAGGTGGATTGAGCTAATTCCATACTGCGCATGAGGTGCCAAGAGCTGGAGAAGCCAAGGACTCCTGATGTTCTTCTGGCAGTAGTCCTGCTGATTTAAGCTTTAAGTGAAAATGCCCCCATAAGAAGCACTGGTCCCACTGGCTGTATGTCCTCTTCTGCAGCATCAGTCCCTGAAGTCAGCTGGGGGCTGAATTATTTTCTTCTCCTATCTCACAACACCTGAGCCATTCCCAAAGATCTCTGAGTTTGCCTTGACTCTCCATCTCTGAGTTGATGTATTTCTAAGCAGGAGATGGTCAGACTTTCTGAATTGTGGTAGCTGCCCTGTACCCAGCCTCAAACCACAGAAAAAGAAGGTGTTGTGATGTGAAACCTTAACAGCTGTGTAGGTTATTGTGGCACAGCAGAAAGAGGCTGAAAGAGCACGAGATGGAAAAAAGGGGGAAAATTGACTCATCTTAAAAATAATCTGTAGTTGAAGCCTTTGGGTCTAATCCCAGCACAAGGCACTTGTTCAATTGCAGCAATGGTGTCTGACTCTTGCCCTAAAGTTGTTAGCCATGGCAGTGATTTTCACAGTAAAAATAAGACCTAAAACTGAACAGCAATCCTTGTCTGCAAACCTCTGTGATGGATTGCACCACATCTGGCTCTTGTGTGATGGGTTGTTATACTTAGAGCCTGAGCATTACAATTACTAATGACAGTGATTTAATGGCTCTTTTTTCTCCTTGGAAAAATGAAGTTAATAATTACCATCCTGGTGTGAGCCAATGCTTTCTTTGAATTGTTGTTACACTACGGTTATGCCTCTCCTCTTTTTGCTTCCCCTCATCTGTCAAACATTCAACATTCACAATAATGTTGTGTTCTTCTCCAGCCGAGGTCACATAACTCTTTGTGTGGGGACTAACGGATTAGGCTTCCTGGTGCTGAAAGGTGCTTAGCTGATCAGTGTGGAATGCAAGGTTGATAACGTGGCGGGTTGTAATTAATATATTCAGGTGTGTTTGATATTGGACCCACTTGTTCCGGCAGTTGGTTTAGTTCCTGTTTGTTTTGGTTTTTGCCTAGGTTTATCAAGGCTTACAAGAAATTTGGATTGCCTCTTGAACGGTGAGTCCCAGCCTGGCCCGGTTCCAGAGGGTAATCGTGTGGGGATGTTGGATTTCGAAGCACAGCCATAAACACATTGCTATGGGTGTTTGACACAACCTGCACGGACAGCACAAAGCCTTGCTGTCGTATGTCAGTAACCCCAGCCCTACCATACAGTCCCTCATGTTTCATTTGATGGGCACTGATGAGTGCTGGCCAAAACCCAGCTAGAACAGTAGTGGTGCCGGGCTGTACACAGCATCATCCTGCTGGCAAAGCCTGGGCCTTGGGGCATTTCCACTCTGCCTAGAAAAGAGAGGGAGCAGCTGTCTGAATAGCAAATGCTGGCCAAAACACTTGCCAAGCTTTTGCCGTGCGTGTTAGTTTCAAGACTGAATTTGGAGCATCTTTCTCTTGCTGCCATATCCCTCTTGAAGGGAGGTGAGGAGAGGCACACACTGTCCTCGAGCAAGGGGCTGCAGAGCCCTGCCCGAGTGCTGTGACCCAGCATAAGGAAGGAAGGGAGATGAGCATGTGTGCTGGCTCTGGAAGGCTGTAGCCCTTGCTGAGGTCTCAGAGGTCTCAAGGCTGAGCCCTTGCTGCATGTATTGTATGAGAAATGAAAGGCTTTTCAGCTGGCTGTACTCTTCTGTTGTGAAACACAAGGCTTTGCTGTCATTAACTACAGCCAGGCAAAAGGGACAGCAGATGGCAGCTTTTGACCATCAGATGGAGTTAGTATGGAACTGGGAAAGCTGAAGGAACACTAGACAGTCACAGAGGGTGCCTATTGTGCCCAAGATATAGACAGTTCTCACCTTTGCTTGAATACTAGAAAATCCAAAGGATTGGATCAGCCTTACCACATGTGCTCTGTACTGCAGCTGGTAGACCTGAGAAATAGACTGAAACTGGAGTTTCCTGCACGACCTTGACTCATGCAGGTTTCACAGCATTGACTGCTAAAAGCTATGAAACAATTGCTCAGGAAGTGGCAGGGAGGAGATATGCTCTATCTAACACCAACCTTTTTTCCCCTTTTTCCAGGCTGGAGTGTATTGCCCGGGATGCTGAGCTGGTGGATAAGTCTGTGGCTGATCTGAAACGATTAGGAGAACTCATCCACAATAGCTGTGTGTCAGCAATGCAGGAATATGAGGAACAACTGAAAGAAAATCCAGGTGAAGGTAAGTAAGGGAGTTGTGTGCTGCTGTTAGGATGGCTTTGGGGGAGTTGCATGGAGCTGGGGAGAAAACCATTCACTTGCTGGGAAGGGAGTCATGTCACAGTGCGACGTAAAAGCGAAGAAGCAAGCACACATCTCCGTCTCACCAGTGGAGAGAAGCCCCTGAGTCTTCTGCTCAGCCTGGAAAGCTGCATTTGCTTCTGCTGAACATGAGGTTTTTAGGGAGAGGCTGAAGTAATCGGCTTAATGCTGGCCCACAAGGCAAAGGAGATGATATTTTAACTGCTCCTGGACTGTGTCCTCCATGGTAAAGCTGGATCCACAATTAGCACTTCCCAGAGCTGGCATCATCGACCACTCTATGTGTGGCTGTTCTGTGCTGTTGATTTGGAGATACAGGGGTCTGGGCTGGATTTCCTGCTGGATCTCTGCCTGCTGCAGCTGAACAAAACTACTGAAGCAACAGCTCCAGCGTACTTAGATGTGTTTTTGAGAAGATGATACTGGAGGTGTTTGGATTGCAGATCTGAGGGAGTTAGTGAAAGAAAACTTGTATTTTGGGCCTGCATTAGTGGACAGCTGTATGTTTAAAGAAGAGATTGAGGGCAAGGTCTTGATCTCTGTGTGCCTAGACCCTTCTTCCTGTAAGAGTTCTCTTAGCTGCTGTGTTCTGTTGTTTGACAGGGAAAGGACCTGGGAAAAGAAGAGGTCCTACTATCAAGATTTCTGGTGTCCAAGTCAATGTGAAATCCATCATCCAGCATGAAGAGGAGTTTGAAATGCTGCATAAATCCATTCCTACGGACCCAGAGGAGAGGAAGAAGTGAGTCTGGCCAAGCAGGCAATGCAGAAAGAGGCTCAGGGAATTCGGACTTTGTAGTGGGAAGAGGGAATAGCCGAGCTCTGTGGATTTGCTTTATCCTCCAGAGCACTAGAAGCAGCTCGTGTTTGCAATGCTTGCAGGTACCGCCTGACGTGCCGGGTCAAAGCTGCCCATTTTGATGTCGACTGGGGAGTGGAGGAGGATTCCCGGTTGTTGGTGGGAATTTATGAGCATGGCTATGGAAACTGGGAGCTGATTAAAACAGATCCAGAATTGAAACTATCTGATAAGGTAGGTGGCTTTGCTTGTTGCTCGCATTGGGTCCGTTGTCATAGAGAACATGTTTGATTTACTCCAGAAAACAGATGTTTCTGTTTGTAACCCCTCATAATGATTAATAATAATGAGGAAAACAGTGACCTCCATGGAATGTTGCTTGATGGAAAGCAGAGCTGTGTTATTTGATGGGCAGTAAAATAGCAAAGATCAGACTGTGGCTGGGAGCCCTTCTGCATGAACTTCAGAAAGGCATTTTGCAATGGAAACAATTGCTTGAGACGTGCCTCCCAGTCTCCAGTGAAGCATGAGGGTAACCTGGCTGGTGGCCTGAGATACTTCCTCCACAAAGTGGCACCTTGCAGCTTTGTTTTCTGCATCTCTATCATTGCTGTAGCAATGTCTCTGGTTACCAGAGGGGCCCAGCCTGCTGTGACAAGGCTGCCACAAACCAATCTGATGTGTCAAGGAGAGTGGACTCAGTTTTGCAACCTAAATATAGTTTGCAAAGGTGTTGGGATTTTTTTTTCTTCCTTTGCACACTTGTAAGAAAGATCGTAGAGAATCTAGAGAGCTGCTTTTGGCTCCTTTTGCTTCTGCAGAAGGCCAAGGGAGGAATGCTGGCTTGCTTGCTAGGAGCTTTGCTTTTGGCTAGACAGGGAGAAGTCGTGTGAGAGGTGGAAGGAATGCTTGAACCTTCTCATTCTCCCAGAAGGTGCAGCATCTCCAACCCTTTGCTGGGCCTGGAAGGACCGCTGCTGGTGTCTATCTCTTGTCCAGGTTTGCTGGGTGCATTTGGCTATATACTTCTTTTCTTCTTTATCAAAGATCCTACCTGTTGAGACAGATAAAAAACCTCAGGGAAAACAGCTCCAGACCCGAGTTGATTATCTACTGAAACTGCTGAAGAAGGACCTGGACAAAAAAGAAAACATGAAAGATGGGGAAGAGGTGAGATGTGGCTGCTTGATTCTGGGGATTTCAGGATGACTGGGTGGCTGGTGGTGGGAGACAGCCTGTGTCCCCAGGTCACTGAGCATCATTTATGTGAAAGAATATGGACTTGTCTGTTACCTGACTGCACTGTAACACTGAAATGAGAACTATTACATTTAACTGAAGGACTTGGGCTCATCAGGCTTCCTGCTGTCCTGCAGGTCCTGCAGCTGTTTGTAAGGTGTTCAGGAGATGGGGTTTGTCCCCAGGAAGTAGCTGTAGCTGTTTGCTTGCCCTGACTCGTTCTGTGTTTTCACCAGGGCAAGCTAAAGAAGAGGAAACCACGAGTAAAGAAAGAGAACAAGGCTCCCAAAGTCAAAGATGAGCATGGGAATGAACTCCTCTCTCCTCGGCACTCAGACAACCAGTCAGAAGAAGGTGAAGTCAAGGTGAGTCAACTTGGTAGATAGTGCTTTTTCCAGGTTTCCTTGAGGTGTGTTGTTATTGCAGGAGACTGGCAAACACAAAAACACATTTACAGCTGTGGAGGTGAAAGAAGGACCTTTCCCACCCACTCTTACCGTGCTTTGTTTTGGAGGATCCTAGAATGGATCCGTGTCTTGACTTGGAGGAAAGGTTGTCTCAGGACAAAGTCTGTTGCCTTTATAAAGCACAGAAAGAAGAATTGTTTTCCTCTCCTTTTCAGTACATAAGCCAGTGGTGAAGCTGGAGTTTACAGAGGTTGTGCTGTTGCTTAGAAAACCTCCTGTCTTTGAGTGGCTTGGCTTGTAGTCTGAGACTTTCTGTTCCTGTGCTGATCAGTATCTACCTTAGGGGCTGAGTGTTCTTGAGCAGAGCTGGCAGAGGGAAGCAGTGCTTATCTACAGCGTGCCAGCTAGTTACAGATTTGGGCTCATCTATTTCGTATGTCCTTTAGTCAAGGGTTGGGTGGATTGTAGCTGGTTCATCGGGGCTTGCTGTGTCTGGCTAAAGAGGTGTGAGGGCAGATTTGGATGGACCTCAAAAATTGCCTGTTTCAAGGATGTAAGTTTGATGGAAGAAAGTGTATGCTAGGAGAGGGACTCCAACTTTGTGCTGATTTTTCAGGAGGATGGCTTGGAAAATTGCCCAGTGAAAAAGAAACAGAAGAAAAAAGAGAACAAAGAGAACAAGGAAAAACAGACAACCACTAAGAAGGAAAAAGAAAGTGATAAAGAGAAAAAGAAGACAAAAGACAAGAAAGAGAAGGTACGTGGTACTCTGAGGAGCAGCGTAAGAGCTAGGAAGGTTTCTGAGCCGAAGTGCAAGCTATCAGCCTTACGATTCATTAAAGGCCCTGTGTGAAGAGACATCAGTGAAGCACTGAGGGATGACGCATTATCCCTTTTTCAGCCCTGCTGAATTCTTATTGTGAAGAATTGCAATAAAAAGTAGAAAAGGGGAATATATCCTAAAGCTTGATGGAATGTGAGCAAAAAGGAAGAGATTTTGTCAGACTGCCTTTCAAGTACAGCTGTCCCTGTGAGAGCAATATGGCCAAATAGCTGATGTTAAGGAAGAAAGGGGGAAGAGCCTGGAGCACTCACATCAAAGTTCTGTTCAGCTGTGATTTGTCACAGGGTTGGCAGCTCCTTGTCTGTATTCCCTTTTTAATCTAAGCTCACCCCAAATATCCGAACTGCCCACAGCATCAAGACTCTAAGTTGTCCTTGTCGCTGTTCAGGACTCACCAGAATGAGTGTTTCAACATCAGTGGTATGTTGTGGACTAAAATGTCCCTTGAATTTTGGGTACAAGTGCCCTGAGGCTGGGTTCAAATTGGAAGGCAGGTGAAAGCTTCTGTAATAATGACCTGAAGTACCTGTCCAAGGAACAGGTATGTTCTGGCTGCCCAGTATGTTTTGACACAGAGGTCATAAGTGCAAAGCAAGAAGTTTGGTTGCATATATAGGGGAAAGTTTGCTTTCCAGAGATTTTTGTTATGATCAAAGTTTACTCTTAACAGGCCATGATATCCGAGGCTGCTTTCCAGAGGGTCTGAGGACTAGTAACATCACATGAAGCTGAAGATCTTCATAGACATGAGACTACTCTGAGCTCTGTGCTTTGCAAGGGCTATATATTCTTTAGCTTAAGCTCTCTTCCAAGTCTTCAACGTTGGTTTTCTCTTCATGAGTATGAATATCTTACTCATGTCCAAAATGTTGTCTCTGACTTGTCTCTGCTCCCACATGGATGATGTAAAGCTAAATAGAGGCATTGCAGCTAAACAGTTGGAGATCTTGGGAGGAAAGTTGTAGGAACAGTGCCCAGGGTTTAACCACAGCCAGTAACAATAGTGCAGAGGTTGTTAGTTGGATCACTTGGGATCTAGCTCCTCATGTGATGTGTGTAATTTGTCCTTGTAAAGCCTAAAGGTGGTGAAGCCAAATCTGGAAATAAAGGGAAGAGATCGCAAGGTCCTGTCCATATTACTGCAGGGAGTGAACCGATTCCCATTGGGGAAGAGGAAGATGATGATCTGGACCAAGAAACATTCAGCATAGTGAGTATTTTCCTTGGGATATGGGAGGGCAGTGGCAGAGCCCAGCGAGGCAGCCAGGGTTTGCTTCCATGTTATCCAAGGATGTGTTTTAAGGGTCAGGGTGTGAGCCCCGTCCTAGTGCCCCACAGTGATGTCCTCTGGCTGATGTGAGAGCGTGGTGGAACCTTATGCAAGAGTTGTCCACCAGCCTCCTCTGTAAATGGCACTTCCTTTCCAACCCAAATCCTTCTGTGATTCTGATTGCTCCTTGCCTAATGGTCAGATAAAGCTAAAACCTTGTGCTAATGAACTTCTTTCTGCTCTGTTGGATTAACAAGGGAGCAGTGTAGAGCCCTGTGCCAAAGGAGTCACTTTCTGCTCTCTCTTGCCTTTTCAAGTGCAAGGAAAGGATGAGACCAGTCAAAAAAGCACTGAAGCAACTCGATAAGCCCGATAAGGGACTGACGGTTCAAGAACAGCTGGAGCACACCCGCAGCTGCCTCCTAAAAATTGGGGACCGCATCTCTGAGTGCCTTAAAGCCTACACTGACCAGGACCATATCAAGTTATGGAGAAGGTGAGGGGTCATTTTGTTTTCTTGTTTGGCTGGTCTGTGATATTTTAAAAGGATCATCAGAGGCTGCTGGGTTTTGCGTGAAGGAGTTTGCCATTTGCCTCTCTAATGAACCTGTGGAATCCTGTATTCTCTGGCCCACTCAATCCATGGCCATTCTCTTTGTGCTGGTTTCAGAGCTACTTTAGATAACCCAGTGCAAACCTCCTTATTTTGCTTTGAAGAATGTGGTTCCAAGTCTCCTGCTCAGCCTGTCCTGAGCTGGGTTGAGACTGTTTTCCATAGAGGGTAGAGCTGATTTGATGTGGGTTTGAAAGCAGGTGGCAGTTAAACTGGTGGTGTAGCAATTAACAGAAAATGTTCATGTCCTCCTAGGAACCTGTGGATATTTGTGTCAAAATTCACAGAATTTGATGCCAGAAAACTGCACAAACTCTACAAGATGGCTCATAAGAAAAGATCACAGGAAGAGGAGGTGAGACCCAAAGTGCATTCCCTTTGGTTGCTTCCCTTAAAAGTTGTCACACTTGAAGTGTCACTTCTTTCATGGGTTTGCTTTGTTGTTTTTGGCAGTCTGTGATTTCCTTAACATCTCAACAGTGTGGTTACATTTGCCACCTCTTGTGTGGCATTTCTCCCTTCACCTCACAGCACTGGTCACTTTGTTCTGGCTGTTCTGACGAAGAGAAATCATTACTTGGTGTGGCACATTGGGTTGCCCTTGAGAGCGAACAGCCTGGGAGTGCTGCCCTGTAGAGACAGGATGTAGAAGCAAGAGCTGTGTGGGGCTACATTGTCCCTGTCCTCCACCACATCTGTGTCGTTACCATTTATACCATTCTTGGGCACATCTGGTTCCCCAAATGCTCAGAGAGGGGGGAATGCAGAACATTCCAGAGCCTGACAGACAGGGCCATTGCTCACATAGTCTGAATCTTCCAGTGGAGGAGCAGTGGAGCTGTAACCTTCTCTTCCACCTTGCAGGAGCAGAAGAAGAAGGAGGACATGTCCAGCATGAAGAAGCCGTTCCGCCCAGAGCCTTCAGGCTCCAGCCGCGACTCTGTGATGTCCCAGTCTCACGTGCCTCACAATCCCCATTCCCAGAAAATCCACCTGCCCCCTTCCCATGCCCAGCAGCAGATGCATGGGCACCCACGGGACAACTATGGCCATCCAAACAAGAGACATTTCAGCAACACGGGTGAGTGCTGCAAGCCAGGAGAAACCATCCCTTGTAACCTAATGGCTGTTTGCTCTGGGACACAAATCCTTCTGGGACCCGTGGCTGGTCAGGTTACCATTTCTTTGGGAATTCGGCACGTTAAGCTAGAGCGTGGAAGACACTTAGTGGTGCTTTCCTCATTGCAGACCGAGGAGAATGGCAGAGGGATCGGAAGTTCAACTACGGTGGCAACAGCAACCAGATGTGGGGCGGGGAGCGGCACCACCAGTACGAGCAGCACTGGTACAAGGACCACCACTACGGGGATCGGCGGTCTCGTGGGGAGCCCCACCGGAGCTCTGGGAGCTACAGACCCAATAACCTCTCCCGCAAGAGGCCCTATGAACAGTACAACAGTGACCGAGACCACCGAGGCCACCGAGATTATTACGACAGGTAATTACTCCCTTTCCTCTCAGAAAGGCTGGGAGGGGTGCGCAGGGAAGCTCTGTGATGGGCAGGCTTTCCTTAGGGAACTGCTCTCCATCCGTCTCGTCCTCTTTCTGCAGGCACCACCATGATTCCAAGCGTCGGCGATCGGATGAGTTCAGGCCTCAGAACTACCACCAGCAGGATTTCAGACGGATGTCTGACCACAGGCCGCCCATGGGATACCATGGCCAAGGACCTTCGGACCACTACCGGTCCTTCCACACAGACAAATCGGGAGATTACAAACAGCCTCTCCCTCCACCTCACGCTGGAGTGTCGGACCCTCGCTCACCCCCCTCTCAGAAATCCCCCCTCGATCCCAAGTCACCTCTGGATCACAGGTCACCTCTGGATAGGTCATTAGAACAGAAAACCAATCCAGATTATAACTGGAACATTCGGAAAACATAAAGTGACTGAGAGGGAGAAAGCAGAAATCTGAAATACTTGGTTTGATGCAACAACAGCTGCTTTCTCCAAGACAACAACCAGAAACTTTGAACATGCTGCTATCATCTTCCTGGGTCAGGGAGGAAATTTGGGGGATTAGGTAGAGGAAGATTTTTTCCCCTCGTTTTTTCCCTCATTTTTCCCCTCATTTCCCCCTCATTCTTTGTTCCAGTTCAGATTCCTATTTCCTTTCCTCTCTTTGTGACTGAACGCTGAAGCCAGCCTTGCTGCCTCATTCCTTGTTTTGGTTTTGTTCTCCCCAGTCCAATGGACCCAAGGGAACTGTCCCCTGTCAGTGTTTAACTCTCAGTTTCCTTTCCCCTCTTTCACTGTTGAACATTGGAACCAGCCTTTGCTGCCTCATTCATTTTGGTTTTGTTTTCCCCAGTCCAATGGACCCAAGGGATTTTTCCCCAGCCAGTGTTTTCCCAAACCAAGAAGGCAGATTGATGCTGCTTAAGGACTATGCTTGTGTTACCTGACAGATGCTGCTTTGGGACTGGGGACAAACTGGCTGGGATAGGCTTTGTGTGAAACCAGCATAGGGCAGTGGGAGGGTATATTCAAGAAGGGACAGGAGAGTCCCTCAGCAGCCAAACTTGGTTGAACGAGGGACTTGGTGTCCCTGCAGAGTGACTCCAAAGGAGTTGGAGCCATGCTGGTGACAATCCGTAGCTTTCCTGGCCATATTATCATTTCCATGTCCCTATCCATTTCAAGAAACTGGCTCTGCTTTGACTGCTGTTGTGTCCCCTGCAACTAAAGAGGTGGGGGTGACCTGCCATCTCTAGGGCTACAACTGGCAAATGTTGACTCCAGGGAGCTTTGGGATATGTGGGGGGGGAAAAAAAGACTTTCTTAGCAAAGACTTAGTTTACTTCCAACTAGAAGGAAGTAAATCAGGGTGAGAACAGTATTTCCCACTGAGCAGAGCTCAGGAATTCATAGCAAAACTCCTCTTCTCTTCTGACATGGGCAGCTGGGATGGTCCAGGTGCTGCAAGGTCAAAAGATGGCTCTGGGCATCCTGAGGCTCCTCATCTCCCTGCCACTGAAGTGCTCCAGGCTTTGGGCAAGTCATTTCTCTGCACTTTGCCAAACAGCCATCAGAAACCTCTGCTGCAACCCAAGGATGAGGGATGGTGAAGCAGAGTTCAGTAGGAGTGCAGTGGGCTGATCATTGTTCAGCAGTAAGTGCTGCACCAAAAGACCTTCTGGCTGTCAATTGGAATTGTGCCTGGGGACTTAGCACCTAAGTGAGCAGGGAGAGAATGAGCAATTCAGGACTGGGGCCTTTAAATATCCTTGGAGCAAATGTCTTAAGAGCCCAGCATGGCAGAGGGAAGAGAGGAGTCTGCAGCCCAGCGCCGTGCACTTAGAGCAAACACTCCTCCAAGTGTTGGAGCCTCAGTGTCTGGTGCAGAGCCGTGTACAGCCTGGAGGAGACGGGTGTGATGAGAGGGGCTGTGCACAGGTTGCTGGACAGAAGTAGCTGTGGTGGTGGTGATTTTTCAGGTCCGAGGCCTTTGTAGAGTCACATCCCTGGAGACCACAAAGCTCTCCCAGCAGCCGGGCTGCCCAGAGCGTGGTGCATCATCTCCTGGAGCTCAGTATTACAGACCAGGCTGTTCCAGACTCCTCTTCCTGGTGGGGGACAGAAGCTTGGCCTCCTGTTAAGGTGCCAGTGTCTGACCCTTATAAGCTGTGATGTCCTTTCCCCCGAAGACTGAGGGGAGATGGTGGTCAGGGCTGGCTTCCTGACTCCAGGCAGTGCCTTGGCAGGCACACACAAACCAACACTAATACCCCCATGTCCCATTCCATGCTGTGCATCCCTTGAAACCTGCTGCTGTCGCTCCTTCCCGAGCCCGCTGGTTTAACGGGACACACGGGAAGTGTATTGCTCCCTTTTTGGTGTTTTTATTTTGCAAGATTTCCACCAACTGCAGGGCAGCTTCGCTTGCTTAGGGGCACTGCACTGCCCCGAGGTAGTGGTGTTACACTAGTGTTGAGCTGTGCAGGAGGAGGTGAAGGCTCCCACAGTCCCCTTTGGAGCTGTGAGGCGAGGGGAGGTGTTGAGATAGCAGCGTTCCTCACTAAGCTGTGATTGCAGGCGCTTGCTGTGGTATTCAACAAAGAGGTCCTTTCTTTTCAGAGGTATTAGCTTTTCATGTGAAAATGGAGGAAACCTCAGAGGAGCAAAGAGAGTTGCCCTTTTTGTTCGCCAAGCGGTGCTATCGTGATGGAAAGCTCGTGCCATACACTCGTAGCAGAAGGCGGTACTGGCCAGACCAGTGTTATGGTTGGTGCAGGAAAACTTTGAACCCCAGCAAGAGCCATTTTCTGTGTCCAGATGTGGGGGTTTCTGCTTGTCCCACGTTCATGGTGTGAGGTTGCTTGGGGTTTTTTTGTGCAACAGCAAAAGCTTTTCCATATCCACCAAAGAGCTGTCCCCACTGTCACCTTAGCCTGATACTGTAGTCTCACAGTTTGTTCACTCCTGGTGGGTGGTTCTTTGCTGGGTTTGGCTTTAATCACAGAATTAGAGACTGGTTTGAGTTGGAAGGGGCCTTAAAACTCATCCAGTTCCATCCCCCTGCTATGGACAGGGACACCTTCCACTAGAGCAGGTTGCTCCAAGCCCCTGTGTCCAACCTGGTCTTGAACACTGCCGGGGATGGGGCAGCCACAGCTTCTCTGGGCACCCTGTGCCAGTGAAGATGGAGAACTAGATTTGGGAGAAAGTCCTCTCTGAGCACACACACATGCATTTTATGTCTTCTCAGCACAGGGACCATAACTTGTCACTTGGATGTGGGTGGGATCGAAGGGGACAGGTCCACAGCCATAAACTTCACTGTGGTGTTTGTATATCAACATCTGGTACAGCTTTTCCTTGTGAACCAGCTGCGAGATTCCCTCTTGGTAGGAAAAAGTAGCAATTTGCTGGGCTTTTATTTTATAAAACCAGAGTTTTTCAGCCTGACCCCTTTGGAAATGGTATAAAGTTTGTGTAATTCACACGATGGAAGTCCTGCAGACCGAAACCTGCTGCAGGCACAGGCGATGTGGTACCCAACAGGAGGGATACTACAGCGCTCTGAAGTCCTTAGGTGAGCAGTTCAAATGACCCCCACAAAAATACTATTGTGCTTTCACCCATTTCCTCCCAACCTCTGCCTCCCGTCCTGGGAGAGAAGGACTCTTACTGTAAAAAAACACGGACTTTGAAACTTGTTGACTAAAAACAGTAATTAATATTAATTTATATTTGTGGGAAAAAAAGAGAAAAACCCCATACCACTGTCCTAGTGATTTCTGATGTAAATATGTTGTTTATATAGTATGTATTAAATTTTCCTACATTGTAAAACTGCTGTACTTTTGATTCTTGTATATTAAAAAGTGTTACGGAGATTTTCAGAACAGCGCCAGTGTGGTGAGTCTGAGGGGTCTGTGGTGTCCCTGCTGAGTCTGGGGCGTCCATGGTGTGTCTGGGGCTGTTTTGGGATCCCAGGACCCTTCCCTGCAGCCCCGGGCATGCCACGATGGGTGTTTTCGTGGTGCAGGAATAAGCATGTTGTTTTTGGCTGTTCCACGTAGCTTCACAGTCTGTGGTGACAGATTTGGAAACCCCTTCAGATGGGAATTTCCACATGACTGGGAGAAGCCGTGTGTTTTCTTGCCCATTTCCACCAGGATTTCGCTGGGATGGTACCGATGTTCATGTGTTTAACCAACATTTGTCTTTTCTGGATCTCTGGAGGTATGTAAAGATCTTTTTTGACCCTTTCCAGGCAGAATTCCCTTTCCTCCAAAACTGCTGCTCCTGCTGCACGCGTGGAGCTTTCTGTTCTGTCCCCAGCCCCAGTGGGACATGCCTCTATGCAGGTGGGATGCGATAGCATCCTGCAGGCTGCTTTGGTTTGGTCTTCCTTCTCCACCCCTCCCTGCTGAGGCGCACATGGCAAGATGTGGTGCAGGGCTTGAAGCCATTTCTCACCCATTACAAAAGCTCACTGTAAAAAGCACTTTTCACACCTGTAGCCACTGGGTCTGGCCCTTCCCACCCCCTCTGCAGCTGAGCCAAGTTTCAGCCAACAGTGAAATGTTACAGCTGAGTTATACACCCCTGAAAAATGGATTTCCTAATGGAAAGAGGTCCTGGCTGT